ACATGATGTAATAGTTCACTGAAATAAGCAAAAAAGTCCCTGTTTGTGACACTGGCCCATCGAGCAATAAGACAAAAGAGGGAATCTAATCCTTATGAAAAGGAGACCAAAAAGTGGCCTCTGATGGCGGACATATCCGGAAATGCGAATACGCGAAATTTAAATTTTCCGACACTTATCAACAGTATATATATATTATATATAAATATATATATATATATATATATATATATATATATATAATATATATATATATATATATAAGGTTCTTGAACTCCTAAATGGAGCATAGAGCTTCAGTGAAAACGCGCCATCGGGTTCTATTTTGCGCTAAGGCCTTCACCTCATTCCAAGACTTTCCTTGTTTTCTTATCTCGTCCATGATGGATCTTCTCCAAGTTTGTACTGGGCGACCTTTTTTTCGTTTTCCTTGGGGATTCCACTCTAGGGCAGTCTTTGCAATACTGGAGTTATTTTTTCGGAGTGTGTGACCGATCCAGCCCCACTTTCTGGACTTTATTTCATTTACTACCCTCTTTTGTTTGGTCAGGTGTAGTAAATCTTCGTTTCTGATGATGTTAGGCCAGAAAATACGAACAATTCTTCGTAGACATTTATTAACAAAGACCTGCAGTTTGTCTGTAAGGGTTTTTGTCGCTTTCCAGGTTTCACATCAGTAAAGTAATACAGACATGACATTTGACTGGAATATGCGGATCTTTGTCCTCGTAGTGTAGTCTCCAGACCTCCAAACAGGGTTGAGCATGTTGAAAGCTTGTTGCGCTTTTCGTATCCTCATACGAATATCGTCTTCTGTACCTCCGCTTTCTGTTATGACACTTCCAAGATACGTAAAGTTTTCCACATTTTCAATCTGCATGTTATTAATGGTGAATAGCGTGTTGTTTCTTGCATTTATTCTCATGGATTTGGTTTTACCAATATTGATTTTCAAACCTATTTTATTGGCTTCAGTGGAAAGTGTTTCCAATTGGTCAGCCACATCTTGAAACCTTTGTCCTAACAGGCAGATATCGTCGCCATATTCTAGATCGCTTAGGCGTGTGGTTAACGTCCATTGTATCCCTCTTGTGTCAGAGTCTAGTTTGGAGAGAACATAGTCTAGAGCTATGTTAAAAAAAAACGGAGAAAGCACGCATCCCTGTCTGACTCCAGTAAGTACGTCAAATTCGTCACTGTTGATCCCATTGTGTGTCACGCTGCATTTCGCTTCAGTGTACAGTGACTTTATAATGGAAATTATTTTATGCGGGATGTTTCTTAGCTCTAAAATTTTCCATATCGCATCATGAGATAAGCTGTCAAACTTACTTATCAACAGTAGCTATATAATATTTTTCAGAATGTGTCTTAGACGAGAAAGTTTTAATCAATTATTAATGATAAGAGTCTAAAATGCGACACAATTGTTAAAAAACTTCAATATAAATAAGATTTCATGTGACATTTGGGACAAACAATAACATAACCCAACTAAATTTGATGTCAAACAAGGAGAGAGACTCTCTTTCCTTGTTTAATGTGGCCTCTAAAGATCGCACTTCCTGTCTAACAATATGTTTGCCCCACTACCTTTACATTCCCTCTATTGCTTTTTGCTCGATGCACTGGCCCCACTCACCTTGTTTTGAGTAGTATGGACCTTTATAACAAGAACCTACATGTATATGTTTCCTACAGTCGATTTTTTTGACTTTTTTGACAAAGGGTTTGAGTTAATTTTTTAAAAAAGTTAATTAACATTTCCGAATAACACCGAAATTTATGAATTATTTTCTAACTGTAAGCAACAAATAAGGATAATAAGGTGTTAAAAACGCCGTTTGGAAGGTTTTTATATAAGTTACAAGTTTGTTACTCTCAAATTTGTTTCAAATGATTCATTTTTTGCTGATAGACGAAAAAAAAACGAAAATTGACTGTTTTTTGACCTCGAAGTCCAAAAAATCGACTGCAGGAAACATATAAAGTATGATGCAAATGTATGGACAGCCCAAAGGTCTCCTTATCGCCTTTGCAACGATATAATCATTTGCATATTTATTTCTACAGGGTTAACCAAAACTGTTGGTTTATTACTACAATTAACTTACAATAAATGTTTACTTAAATACAATTAAATTACAACATGTTCAAATTGACGACCTTCAGCCATAATACAATGTGAAAGATGGACAATAAAACTCTTTTCTTACATTTTCGATGGCTTTAGGTGTTATTTGTTCAATTTCCGTTCTGATGTGCTCCTTCAACTCTTCTACATTATTCGGTCGATTTTGATACACTCTGCTCTTTAAATATCCCCACAAAGAAATTATAACGGAGTCAAATCTGGAGACCTTGGTGGCCACTCGATGGGCCCCTTTCTACCTATCTACCTACCTGGGAAAACGTTATTAAGTAATTTCGTACCTTAACGCCGTAGTGTGGGAGAGCCCCATCATGTTGGTACCACAAATCATTTTTATTTGGAAATAGCTGATTCAGCAGTGGCAACAGAAAATCCTGAAGAAATTCTAGATAACGAGAAGCAATTAAGTTTTCCTCAAAAAAATATGGCCCTACAATTTGATTGTTTATAATACCAGCCCAACCATTCACCTTCTCAGGATATTGTGTCCTATACTCTTCCATCCAATGTGGATTTTCACTTACCCAGTATCGATATGTCTGGCGATTTACGTGATCGTTCAGTATAAAAAACGCTTCATCAGAAAAAAGTACCTTTTTCATGAAACCCTGATCGCTGTTACATTTTTCAATAACGGTTTTGCAGAATTCGATTCGTTTATCAGTCATCTTCTAATGCTCCTGGACCAGATGCACTCTTTTTTAGCACTCTTACAACAGTTGATTGGTTGACATTATTATCTAGTGCGACCTGCCTAGTACTGTATGGGGATTTTCTTGAAACGTCAGTACAAAAAGTAATTAAGTCCAAAAAATCGACTGCAGGAAACATATAGGTTTTTATTACACAGGTCCATACTACTCAAAACAACTGTCGTTTGCCTGGCGGGGTCAGTGTTACGAGAAAAATCTTATTTCCCTGAACTAGAACTCAAAATTATTAAAATCTTTATTGTTACGACATTTTTATGCAATTGTTTGTACTACGATAACGTAGAAATATCATTGATCACGTGCAATAAACTCTAAAGGAAATAATATATACTATCCTTTGTTTTATGAATCTGTCTTATTTGATTAATTCTAATGTAATGATTATTTATTGAGAACTCCCATAATATAATTATAAAGAAACACAATTATTCTAGAAGACTAGGCTTACAACACAAACACTTAGGAAAATAAGTTGAACTAGCATTGATAAAATCGACCCTTTCCCTCAAAAATATAAAAATTACAATGGTATCCTCATCAGAGAGACAAAAACGAATTCTGAAAGTTTGCACAAGTCTGACAGTACAGCCAGAACGAAATTGTCTAAAACAGGAAATTTCAACATCAAAAGTCAATGTTTTGGGCTAAATGTGGACAGTTTAGTATTACAAAAAGCACGACATTTCAACAAATAAATAATGAAATGAGCGATTTAAAATTACTAGGCTGAACTGATGAAAAGTAACGGCCTTAACAAGATTCACAACGAAAAAGTTGATTTCCACAAATTGTCTGCAATTGGCTCTCCTACATACGATGTAAAGTATCTAAGTACTTTACTAAAACCACCTATTAGCCAGTCTGAAATTGACTGAGGATTATACAATAATAAAACATAGCCCACTTTCGGTACTCCACTAGAGTTTAGATATCATTTCACTGTCTGTTTTCCTGCCAATTAGTGAGAAATTGAGCTCATTAGTTAACCGCTTCCAGAAAATCCTTTTTTCACCGCCTTCTCACAAAATATTTTCAACGATATACGACGGATTTTACGATCAGAGTAATAGGAAGACCGTTGAGCACAGTATATTTATTCTTTGTAAAGTTTTCATAGAGAAATTCGAGTAGGAAGCCTTACAGATAGTGGATAAAAAGCCATTGTGTTGGTTTAATAAAATGAAGTTTGTAGATAACCAAACGTCTAGAAGAAAATACATAGCAGGATCTATAAAAACCGAAAACGATCACTTATTATTCAGTTTTTTACTAGTTTTGTTTAAAACCAAAATTGACATAAAAAGAACTATAATAAGAATAATAGAAGAGGCAGAAAAGTATAGACTCACGTAAGTATAGCAAACTATATAAAAATAAGCAACAAGAAAATGAACCAGAGTAGATATACAGCAGTCGGTCTGGGCCACGAAGTGGTCAAGGTCAAGTTTGTTTGGACAAGAAACGGCTTGTCGACTCCAGACCAAAGAAGGTGACATCAAAACGTTACATTTTGGTATAAAAACGTGAAGTTTTGACGTAAAAACGTCGAGTGTCACATCAAAATGTGTTTTCAAGTCGAAACGTCACGTTTTCTCGTAAAATGTCACGATTTAACGTCACCCACTTTGGTCTGGACTCGGAACGCCGTTTTTTGATCAGACAGACTTAACCTTGAGCACTTTCTTGTGCAGAACCAGTGCTGTATATCAACTAAGCAAATTTAAAGGCATGGATAAAGAAAACTTAAGAGTACAAGAGTATACATTTCAAATGGTATAATAAATTATATACTTTTGGTAAAAACCAACAAAAGATGGTAAAGATGATGAGAAAGTCATTGTCAACGATCATTGGAAATATGGTATGATGAGAAGATAAAAGAAATAAAAGAATATTTCGAGAAAGGCCAAAGAAATTATCTACAAGACCGTCATCAGACCAACAATAACATGTGAAACAGGAAGAACAAGTTAAATCAAGAAAAATTGAACAATCTATATGTAATGAGAGCGAAAAAAAGAGATTTAAACACACTAAGGGTATCAGAACGAAAAAATAAAAGTACATGAACTAGAAACTTAAAGAAAAGTAGTAAAGCATGAAATAAAAATACTAGGAATATAATTTCAACTCACTTTCTGCAGCTCTCTCCTCTGCCCTGGCTTTCATCCTCGTGATGAAGGCGGCCCCCTTGTTCTTCCTAAAGTTCTCGTAGGGATCGTTCAAGTTACACCCCACCCCCTTAAACTGATCTTGTCTATCGCGAACGTCACCGCCCGAAATCGGAGTGTCAATACCTTGTTCGTTAGCACCTAAACCACTACCGCCCCACCCCATCTTCTTCAGCATCTGGTGGCCCTTGTTGGACGGGTCCAGTTCTTGTACAGGGTTATGCATTAAATTAAGGTTACTAGAACGTAAAAATGCTGATGAAAATTGAGAAAAACATTGAAATTTTAGTGTTTTTGGAACTTAATATCTAAGGGTTACTTTCTAAAGTTTCTGTGACTTTGTTTAACGTTTAACTGTTTTTTGACAGATAAACTAAACATTTTTGTATAAAAAATGTCGGTTTCCAATATTCTGGGGATTCAAATTTTTTTTATGTTCTTAAATGTCATAAATGTTTCTATTTCCGTCATGTTCATAAATGTTTCTAGAAAATATCATTTAGTCTTTTTTATAAATTGTGTTTGAACTTTCATTCATAGACTAGAAACTCAGTTCTTTCGTCAAGGTGCCTTTATCATATGATGGTACTTCTCCCTTGTATCCTTAATATTTTCATGTTTGATGAGACTTGCTAGATCTTAAAACTTAGTCTGTGTTCGTAAAGTCTGACGGAGATTCATCGATTAGTTTATCCGCTATATTCCTGGTTACAAGTTCTGTAATATATACTGTAAACTTTTTCCAAAGAATATATGTCATTTGTTTTTTTGCACCTTGACGTAAAAACTAAGATTGAACGCAAATATTACATAAAAATGATAACTAGGCTAATATTTTATCTAACGATAATATTCTAGTCTCTACTAAGAGGAAAAACCACTGATGAATAGATGAGGACCCAGAAATATAAGAAAACAATAATAAATTTAATGCTTATACTAAAAAATATATAAGATAACCAATATCCTATGCCTCCTGTAACAAAAGTCAATACATGATCGACATTTCCTATACATGCACTGTAAAATCTGTAAACTTCGTTGAATAATATGAAACCTAATGTTGAATTAACACGTGAAAACATAGTTGACACTGTTACGTTTCAATATCTTTAATTCTAAAATTGTTGACGAAACTATGTATTTTCACATTAACCCCATACTAGAGAAATAATTTTTTATCGCTTCAAATGTACAAAGTTTATGTACTTAAAAGTTTCCGTTTTCTTAATAAATTAGTTATGATGTGAGAAATCTCAGATTTTAGATAAAACTTCATGAGTTGGAAAGATAAAAGGCTGCTGACTGACAAGGAACTTGCCGATATAATAGATAGGCTTTGGGATAGCAAAGATGGGTTTGATTATGATGATGATATTGTCGATCTAGATTTCTTACCTTCTTACAATTAGAAAGCCCCTATGAATATTCTAATTTATTCTTTACAGATAGCCTTTTCGACAAAATTGTGGAGGAGTCAAATTTATATGCCATACAGCAGAATCCTAACAAACTCTTGTCCATTGGTCAGAAGAAATTGGTTTTGAGAAAATAACAAGTGCTGTCAGTTAAGAGGTACGAAAAAATCAGATAATTTTTATTTCAATTTCAATAATAACGGGATACCTTATTCGACAATCCAAACTACGATAGAGTTTATAAAATTAAACCAATAATTGACCAACTCAATGAAGCATTTTCAAATGGAATTCCATTGGAACAATATCTGTCCGTAGATGAGCAAATTTGTTCTACCTGAAGCAGTACCTACCAAACAAGCCACATAAACGGGTTTTAAATTTTTTGTCTTATGCAGTAGCTCTCGATATGCGTATCGTATAGTATTATATACAGGGCAAGATAATGATCTAAAAACGAGACCTGCTTTTGAACCTGACCTCGCAGTAATTGTAAATGTGGTGAGATTGGCTAGAATTATTCCTAGGAATATAAGTCACAGGATTTCTTTTGACAATTATTACTCCTCTATACCTCTCCTTGTATATCTTTCCAAACAAGGTATGTACAGTTTAGGAACCGTAAGAAGGAATAGGATTCCAAACTGTAAGCTTCCAGATGAAAAGACTATGAAAAATAAAGAAAGAGGAACTAATGTAGAGTTTGTTGGTGCTTGCGATGGTGTGGAAATAAGTAGCTTAGTGTGGAAAGATAACAAATTAGTCACGTTTCTATCGACTTTCGGTGGCAAAGTTCCTATAGAGATATGAAAAGAAAAGAAAAGAAAACAAAAGAAGTAAGTTGTCCATATCTTCTACAAGACACAACCGTCATATGGGCGGTGCTGATTTGTTGGACAGCAATATGGGACAGAATAAAATTATTCTATAAAAGGAGTATTGTAGAATATTTTATCATCTACTAGATCTAACTGTTGCTAACAGTTGGGATTCTTTACAAAAATTCAGCTGAACGTAGAACTGGTGTAAAGCATAAAGTCACACACGCTTAGTTTAGAACACAACTGGCAGACGCATTATGCAGGACAGGAGAGCGATTCACCATTTCAAAAAGGGGAAGACTTTCAGCAGGTGAAATTGAGGAGGCCCTACAAATAGAGAAGAGAAAAGGCACAGCACAGGTTATGCCAGTAAAGAATGTTCGAAAGGATGGAATTCACCATTGGCCTGTATGGTTTCAAAAACAAATAAGGTGCAAATGGCTATACACATGTGTTCTGCGAAAAGTGCTTCATTAAAACGAAGAACTGTTTTAAAAATTTTCATTTTTCCTAAATATTGTTTTAATTATATCCTTATTTGCATAATGTTTATAAACAAAACTTATATTTTTCCAAAATAAAAACAAAAAAAGTTGTTCAGATTTTTTTTTTATTTTTTCCTTTAAAAATAACGAAAATTCAGTCTGAAAACTTTTTTGTAACGAAAAATAAAAAATCATGAAATGAAGGGTTAAAGGAGTCTCAATCAGTTAAAAACAATTGATCATATCAACGCAATTTTTAAAAACATTGCTTCCTAGCGATACTTTCACAACTTAAACTAAGAAACAAATAAAAACCAAGAAGACTCGCGTACTACATACGATATTATATCTAACAAAATTGATACTTACACAAAACTGTTAGCAGGCGGCGAGATGGACCTTCGGTTCAGCGGCGACCTGGACCTGGACTTCGACTTGGTTCTACTTCTTCGTCTTCGATCTCTCTCGAATCCCTATCTCGATCTCTCTCTCTATCCCTATCATTTCGGGATTCCCTATCGTTCCTGGAATCTCTATCATTTCTGGAATCCCTATCGTTTCTAGAGTCTCTATCCCCTCTCGAATCTCTATCTCTGTACCTCCCTCGGACTTCTCGACCGACTTCTCGATCTAGACCTCGACTTACTTCTCGATTTCTTGGTGGAGCGGACCGGCGTGGGTGGCGGAGTTCGGGATTTGCTGCGGTATTTTCGTTTCGGAGGAGGAGGTTCTTTCTCGTCCGGTAGTATCACCGGACTAGGGGTTCTCGATTTTTGTCTAAGCCCCGCTGCTATAAGATCGTCTTTGTCTTTTTTGGCAATGTTTTTTGCCTTGTAGAACTCATACAAACCTAGTTTTTCCCAACCTTCGCTGTTTACACATACGATACAAGTTCATAAGATACAAATTGTCAAACAACAAAAATATACATGATCTAAAAGACAGAGCTCTCATTGCGCGAAGATTTCTAAATAATGTCTAATAATGGAAAAATTTGCAGTATGAAATAAGCAATTAGTTGTTGAGTATTGCGAGTTTTGCTGTTTTACTACCACTACAACACTGATATTTGACGATACAAAAGAATAAAAGGTGACAAATACGGACTGCGTTATTCTAAATACATTTTTTCATATATAATATAAGAGAAAAAATTTTGCCGGCAATATTTTCGACTAATATGAAAGTTTGTTGCCTGGCAAAAGACAAAAAACTTGAATAAAACCAGAAGAAAATTTTGCCGGTCAATACTTTTCTTTCGAATGATATTTGACAAGACTATTTCATAAGACAATTAATGCACCATATCAACGAAACATAATCTTTATTTATTTGTTAACAATATTACATGTACTATTATTATAAGCTATAGTAGTTTGCCCATTCGTTTCTACCAAAGCATGATTTTGCATATTATTGACCTGGAGCATTTGGGAACTCGAAGGCCCACCTTCATTTGTTGTTCTGAGATTTTCGATCAACATCTGGTTTTGACTTCAATCCAGCTGCAGTATGGTTTGCATTTGGGTGAGCCGTTAATTTAATGCAGGCAAAACGCAGGCAATAGCAGGCAAACGCAGTCCAGGACGAGAAGAACCTCATGGTTGAAGAACTTGCGAGATTGGTATGGTGTAGATACAAGCATGCTATTAGGGTGGCAGTGAATAAAATTAAAATAGCTATGATGGTAACAACGTTCTGATGGACATGGTACATGAAGAAGAAGAAGTTAATTTAATTAACTCCTGTGGTTCTAACAGCTGAAGATCGATAAAAATGGTTTGTTATTTTATGTTTTTTCTGTGTAATTTTTCAGTTGACATTTGTCCAATTAGATACGGTGTTGATTCCAAGTGGACAATTTTTGAACCAAAATCCATCTTTCCAGTTGGGGTAAACGGTAAAAAACGGTCTGATAAAATCTTTGATCCCAATTTTTCCATAATTTCAAAAATAATCCAACTGGACATAAATTTTCGTTTATTCAATTTCTCACCAGCCATTTGCTGCTTGTCAAACTTTTCGAACCGCCTTTTCGAAAAAAACTTTTTTTGTGCTCAATCGGAGGTTTTTTTTTAAGGTAACTTTGGATGATATTTAATAGTTCTTCGGTGGATAATGCTTTTGAACTAACTTTTCTTCTTTCTTGAATACTCTGAAGCTGCCTCGGCTTGGTATCTCTAGTCAATCTTGCACATTTGAGAGATATATCTGCGGAAGGGTCGATTTTTATGCCGTACTCAGTAAAATATTTTTCTTGTACCATTTTTGCTGTATTGTGGCTGTGTAGCATTTGCATTTTCCTATAAATTGGAATCCCCTCTTATATGTATTAAGTTGAAATCCCCTCATATATGTATTAAAATAACGAAGAGTGTTTTCCATGTCCATGTTCCTATCGAAGGAGTTAAAAACCGAAATATATTTCAATTCCTTTTTAACATCGCGGGTTAATATAAACACATTTTGTAGTTGTTTATATTTCGCAGCTGCGTATTTTCCTCGATATTTCTTTGTTCGAACCGCTCGATACTGAGTTTGAAATAAACATTCATTTAGATCGCTGAGAAGTTTTTGCCGGCAAGATAATTGCGACACTCTCTCTGAGGCGTTGTTAGCGTTAACATTTGTTTCTAGCGTTTGTCCAAATTTCACGTCGAATTTGTAAAGTTTTCTGGTTTTGCCCATTTTCATGGAAAATGTGTAGCAGTGTAAAGTATAGTAGCAATTTAATGGTTCAGTTACAGTTTTAAGTGAGTTTTGAAATGTTGCCATTGTATCCGATTTTACCAGTTTCCTTTTTGTAAGAAGCCAAGCCATAGTGCCATTTCAACCTTTGTTTGTGGTCGTCTTTCCACACCTTTTTAAAGCAGTTTGTTTTTGTTCGTATCAAGAGTTTAACCCCAGTTCTATCCCCAGAAATTCCAGTTAAGTCCAATTACAGAAAATTCAAAGTGGTTTTGTGAAATTAAGGTAACCCTTTTGTTTTGAACTTTTGAATTAAAAATAAACATTAATAATAATAATTTACTTTCATTAAAATTTAAGAATTTGTAATAATTTGTAATGTCTTAGAGCGTGGTTAGCTGTCATTTTAATTGTTCTGTTTTAAATTTAATGTTGACATATTGTAACATAAGACTACCAAAGAGAATTGAAGTATTATTATAAAAAATGATACCTCAATCAACCATGGGAGCTTATCGTCTATGCCTTGCCTAGCTCAGTATCTCAAGGGTGAGTTCGTCTTGTCTTAAAATAGAGCTTGCACCTGAGTTCTTAGCTGATAGCAAATAAGACAAATTTTAACCAAACATATCTATTTAAAAGAATAAAAAAACACAATAATTGACCCTGCCAAAGCTTAACAATTACTTATTGCTTCATTCGATGGGCTACTTGTATGCTCTAGCTGCTAGGTCCTCCAATTGAATATGGTAGTTTTTGGAGAACTGCAGTCACATGTGGTTATATCTCTTGATTCAGTCCAATAAAGTTGTAAATATTCCCAATAAAGTTGTTAATATGTCCAATAAATCCAATAAAATTGTTAATATTCCCAATAAAGGTGTTAATATTGGCAATAAACCCAAGAGAATATTTACACCATAAAAATGAGTCTTATCATAATTTTTACCTTATAAAGTTCAAAAGCAGACAAAAAATTATATTCCCACTAGAAACATATTCTCACATTAGAAAATTTAACTGACAGAAAGTAGTGGGACTGCTGGAAGTTAGCACAGACACACAGATGTCATAAGATGTTGCTTGTCCGTCAACACGGAACAGAATAGTCTGCCGGACAGAAAGAGAGAGTGCGAATATTTATTCTACGGGACAGAAAGAGAGAGTAAATAAAGACAGAGGAGAAAAAGAAAAACAGAGGAAGAAAGTTTGTTTGCCAAATTGAAGTATGACATAAAAAAATCGCGAAGCAAAATTGTGTATTTGATCATGGAAATCAAACACCAGAATAAACACAAAGATTTCCTGTGACAAATAGAAGAAAAGAAAAAAAGAAAAATATCTACAATATATAAAGTACTACATTACGAAAAATTTTTTATATTCTTGTCCTATATTATTTGTAACAAAAGTCTTCTATTATTTTTAATTTGTTCTAATGATTCTGAAGATGCCGCAACTATAGTGATCACTATTTACAAACAAAATTTTGTAAAATCTCAAGGAATCTAAGGTTTCACCGATATTGTGTAAAGCTACATGTTTTCCGAGTTTATAGGCGATATAGCAATGGTCGTACCAGCTTCAAGTTTCACTTACTTCAAGCTCTTGCCTTGATAATATATTTACTAATATTAATGAACTCAATTTAAATACAGATGTCTATGATCCTGTAATATCTGATCATTTAGGTATATTTGCTCTTATAAGTAGTTTAAAAAAGTGTCTACAATTATAAAAAAGATTAATTAATGAAAAAAATATTAAGAGCTTTGTGGAAAAAATTAAATCCAAAAATTGGACTGTGAAGATATCCGCTGTAATTCAACCAACATGACAGAGTTGTTTATGAGATATACGCCCAAAAAATGGCTCTAGGGGTATTTATCAAATCGCAATCGATTCTTCGATGCTTTAATTGTAAGATATATTAAAAAAAATTAACATGGGATACTGAGGGAGATAAGGTTCTTGTAGATTTTACCTATGTCTTAGACCTTGACGATCTTGGAGATCACCAGGTGGAATTTCCGATTGCTACAATATTTTTTTAAGCTGGCTTCCCATTTTGAATAAGATGATGATCTTGAGATTGAAAAGTGAATGCGATGGGTACGTCTTTTAGGAGTCAGACCATCTAGGTGACCATAAAACATCATTCACCGTTTTCCCATGTTGCTAACAATGTCTTCTAAGTGTTCATTCCAAGATAATTCTCATTGCTGAACATTAGCGATAAATTCGATAGATTTCAATTGTTTTAGTAGTTGTAGCTTCGACAAAAGCAGATCTGGCATATTTAAAAGTCTTGCAAACGCTTTTTAATAGTCGATAAAACAGAGAAACACGTTGATCTCATAAATGGTGTTCAATTTTTTCACATGCGAAAAATCATGTCATTTTTTCGCTGAATTATTAACTATCCTTCTATCACAATTTTACAATCATTATCTTAGTCTAACCCTTGATAACCCTTCCTACTCACATTTTAACCCCACTCCATTACAAATACAGACAATTTTAAGACGGCAAAGAAGAAAGATACTCTCTTGATTGTCGGCTACCGCTAGGGACAGTCATTCTCTCTTCCCTGTTACCTATCGCTTGGTACAGGTATATGTCGTTGAGGACAGTCCTCTCTCTCTCTCTCTCTCTCTCTCTCTCTCTCTCTCTCTCTCTCTCTCTCTCTCTCTTCGCTTATCAAGAACAGCATCTCTCTTGGCTGTTTTCTATCGCTCATTATCTCGGGATATCAGTGTAAGTACCGCGAAACACGTGTTTAGAAACCGGTGTCCGGACATATTCCGCATAAGAAGAAAAACCAAGAAAAACAAGAGTGTGTGGAGCAGAAAAAAATACTGTTAGACTTTGTATAAACTTAATTTGCTATTGTCTGTATACCCTTTATACCTTTTATATCATATCCTAATTTATTTGAACCAGCCCTATATAATACAGTCAACATACACTGAAATTATACTCATAATTTCCCACATATGTATAGCCTTTTTGTACAAATGGTACAATATACATACAAAGTTTACAAATAATGACATTAAATATAGACAAAACATGAAGCCTTATTATCTTTGCAATTATAGACGAAACGTCAAGAAAAATCGCCTACACCATGGTCCATAAACCCGGAAAACAACGCATCATTACAAACTTTGGATATCGAATAAACTATTCTTTCAAATTTATAAAAATATCGTAAAACAGCCAAAAACTCACAACAAAATAATATTGAGAGCTCTGAAAAACCTTTCTTTACCTGTCTCTAGGCCTATCATGGTTTGGTAATGAGAAGAATGCTTCGACTGCAGCTAGAAGTCGTTCGCTAGGTGGCGCTGGAGGTGGCAACCTAATATCTTTAGGATCTAACGGTTTATATGTCGTTTCTTCCAACTAGAATAAGTGTGTCAAAATACCATTACGCAATTCAGAACACAGAACAAGAGATGTTAGTGCATTCATAGTCGAAAAGAATATTTAACGGGTCTTTTTAAAAATATTTATATAATCTCATATTACACATACTATCAAACCCGTCTATTCAGTTGTATCGAGTAAAAAAACTTAATTGGGCTATAAATCAATTTATGATACCAAACAATGGCTATAATCTACTTTCACTACCATATCAAAACAGTTATGTAGATCTGAGGTGAATAATGTGTCGAGGACGGACCCGTAACAGCTTCTGAGAACTCAGGACTGATAGGTCTAGATAATTTGGCTTTTTACCAGGACGAAGCACTCGAAATTTTATTAAGTATAGTTCACAAAGGTGAAAAAAACAGCGTACAAAAAGTAAGCGGAAGTAAAGTATGACCAGTTCAGATTTAAATGAGGCAAAAGGACGGGGGAGAAACTTTGTTTTTTATCCAAAAACTATTGTAGAGGTGTCACGATTTTCCGATGGAAAGGTTATGTGCCTTTGCTTCGTCGATTTCCAAAAGCGTACCTTCCTACCTAAAATGTTAGATTATGTACGGAATGTTAATTTAAATGATAAAGATCTCAGAATAATACTAAATTTCAATATTCAAGTTCATATATAGTATGCACAGAATATGTTTACGTATGATATGTGGAAAAGTCGAGTAAAATTTTGACAGACAAAACTTTTTTGTCCGTCAATATCAATTTAAAGACATGAGTAAAATTATTCACAGCAGTATAAATTTCACACGAATACACTCAAATTTTCTTAATAATGCTTTATAAAAAGCATTAAACGTGACAGCATTTGTTGCGGACAAAAAAACGGATTTCATTTTTAACAGACCGACAAAAAATGAAGCATTCCGGAAAAATTAAATTAAATTTGCATAAAATAAAGTTAAAGTCTACAAATAATTACTTTATTTGTAGACAAAAGATGAAGTCTTAGATATTTTCGCAGCCACAGAGAAAAGTCAGAAGAATCGTCCAAACCAAGGTCCATAGACCCGGAAAGCAACGTATCAGTACATTTTATGTTTGCTTTGTTGTATACAAGGTTTGTTAAAAATATGAATTTTGTAAGAAAGATTTTGTAAAGTCCTTTAATTTTTGAAAATATCGACAATTATAAAAAAAATATTAGAACCACAAACCGTTTTTAAATATGCTCAGCTCGTCTTCATATGTTAAGATCAAAACTAGTAATATATTCACGTAATATAATCCGTCTTTTTATTATTTTTTGAACAACAAGCAAAAGAATTCCATATTTTTGTCCGCTAATTAGGATTTTTTTTATTTTTTTCGGAATGCTTAAATTTTTTTTGTCCGCCACATTCACCATCATTTTCTTGCATCAATTTCCACTTAAAAAAGTCAAAAATTACGATGCTGTCAAAGTCAGATGTCAATTTTTGTCGGCCGTATACGAGATGTGTCCAAAATATTAATTTTGCTGAATAGTAAACTACTTTAATTTTTGAAAACATGGAAAATTATTAAAAAAACTTTATTATAACTAGAAATCATATTTAAATATGCCTGTCCCATGCTAATATGTTAATTTTACAACTTCTTATTTTTGTCCGACAACCAAAATATCCTAATATTTTGTCCGCGAACTAGTATTTTTTCTTTTTCGATATAATCAAATATTTTTGTCTGCCACATTCAACCTAATTTTTTTTGCATTAACTTCCTCTGAAAAAAGTAAAAGATTACTATGCTGTCAATGTAATATGTCAACTCAATTCAGTCGTATAGAAGGTGTATCAAAAATATGAATTTCGTTAAAGAGTAAAACATTTTTATTTTTGAAAACATCGAAAATTATTTAAAAAAATTACTTGATTGATTTCAAAACCGGCTACTTGCAATGTATTAATTTTACTACACATTATTTTTGACTGACAAGCAAAATAACACTAATATTTCTGTGAGTGAAATAATATTTTTTGTATTTTTTTAAATGCCCCATTTTTTTGGCTGTCAGTTACACCAAAACATTTTTTACGTAAATTTTCATCGAAAAAGGTAAAAATTTAGATGCTGTCAATGTCATATGTCAATTTTTTGTCGGTAGTATACGAGATGTGCCAAAAATATTAATTTTGTTGAATTGTTATGTATTATTTTTGAAAATATCGAAAAAAAAATTTAAAAGAACTTGAAAGCATGTTCAAATATTCCCGTCACATGTTATTATGGTAATTTTAACACCTCTTATTTTGTCTGACAACCAGAATAACCAAATATTTTGTCTGCATATAGGATTTTTTAATATGCCCCAATTTTTTTGTCTGTCACGTACACAAATATATTTTTAATATAAATTTTCATAAAAAAAGTAAAAATTAAGATGCTGTTCATCATTAAAGGTGATGTATATTTACAAATTTGCAATTTCAGAGTGAAAAAACGTCCCCTAAAGTATACTATCATATTTTAATGTTTTTTAAGATCTCTGCTTTATTTATCAAAAATTCACGACTAAGTTTATTCGTCACGATTAATTTTTGTCCGTCAAAGTTTTCCTTTACTTTTTTGCTTATTGCCGTTCAACTAAATGGAAAAAGACTGTTCATTTTGTACGAACATTGTAATTGACGACTTTCACAGAATCTCAAAACGAAAACGTCCTAGTTTGGATTTTTTGACTATAAAAATTTACTTTCTACAACTTTCTAACTAATACAGTTTGCTGAACTTCCTTCGATTCTTTAGGTTGATGGAGTATAGGGTATTAGCATGTAATAAAGGAGTAAGATAGGATTGTATATTGTCCCCGTACTATTTAATTTTCATTTTGAGTTATTCAATACAGTTAAATAAACTTTATTAACGAATGAAAATTTTAGTAGATGTACAAAAAGTCTTAGACCTACGTAATGAATGCTGAATGAAGATTAACTAGAAAAAAAATCAAGATAACCCAAAAGAAGAAAACGTCCCTATACCTATACCGGTATCATATTTTTACTGTGGAATTAAGGTTTCAACAACTTTTAATACAATAATTATTGGGTACCTGCTTCAAATATTCTTTTCGACAAATTCAAATGTGTAAAAATAATGTAAAAACACGAAATTTCGTAGTCTCTTTTTTAATAAAAAGTATGACAAATATCAACCAAACTGCTCGTCACTGTCTCTTATCATCAGTCTCACTAAAACTTCAAAGCCAACTAAAAAAACGTACCTTGACGAGAGGAACCGTAAGTCCAACCGGTAACTCGTAGTAGGGCGCTGACGGCATTAGGTCATCCACGTACGGTTCTGGAGGCGACACAAACCCTGGAGGGGGCTTCGAAAAATCCGGAAATATCCCCGGCGTCGGAAAATATCCTGGAGGCGGTTGCGAAAACGACATACTGTCGACGCCGTTTTGGTTCAAGTCCGGCGTGGCAGGGAAGACGGGCATGGAAGTGTTATTGGAAGAGTAGCTTTGATTCATTCCATGTTGGTTCATCTGGGAAGGAGGTGGGATAGAAATGTTCATGTCTATGTAGTTGTCGTTCTGGTGGGAATTTATCGTCGGAATGGGGAATGCTTGCTGCGGCGTACTGTGACTTAGGCTCTGTATAGTTTGCTGAAGGCTCTGCTGGATTGTTTCCAAAGGAAGCGTGCTAGAAGGAGCTGGAAAAAAAACTCTATTATCGAAAATAAACTCTTTATAATCTACAAAAAGAAACTTAAAAATTTAATGGTTACCTTGTGGTGGTGTAGGTTGAGTTATAGCTTGTTGCTCTAATGTTTGCTTCTGCTGTTGCAGATCCATAATCTGCTGCATGGCATGGCAGACAAAAGCCTGGTGCTGGGCCTGGTACCCATCATATGTGACTTTCGTCTGTTGTGACAAACTAGAAACTTCCGACTGATATTTGGCTACTTGATCAGCTTGATACTGAGTATAGCTCTGTACAGGATTTCTCATTCTTTCTAATGTATCAACTTTCAAGTAGTTCGTCTTCGATTCCCACAATTTTAACAGTTTATCTAGTTTTTGTTTTTGTTCTGCCGTAGCTGTTATGCTGGCATTGCAAAACATAGGAACGACTACTCTTTCTAAGGCTTCTTTAAGATCACTGGCATTTTTTCTTGCACTAAAATCATCAAAATGAATCACTTATTGAAATGAAACTGCACGAAAAGCATAGGATTATAGAAACTTACCTATGATGAAGTAAATCGTTTACTAAATATATCACATGTAATTTTTGAGTGAAGACTGTCGTTCGTAAAACCCTGAAAAAAGCAAAAAAAAATTAGCTTTTATAGATTCTCAATTTATTTATATATGTGATGGCGAATTTGTAAAAACTTATATACTTTAAGTATATGACATTTTGATTATTTGATTGATAAGTTTATGCGTTAATTAAAGAAAGGTTTGATGCTGATTGCAAAAAAACCTTAACAAACAAAATGAGACTAAAATGTATGGACAAACCAAGTGATAAAAATAGAAATGAATATGAAGCAGAGAGAAGACACATGAAAAAAGTGTGTAGGAGGAAGAAAAGGGAGCATATTGATAAAAAGTTCCAAGAGATTGAAGAACAATTAATAAACATGTGAAAAACTTCTACCAGGAGCCTAAAAGGAGCAGTGACCAAGGCGCAAGAAAACAAAATTACTAGAAGAGTACAGAAGGGCATCTAATGGAGATAAGCAGAGGAAACTAGATATATGGCAAGAACATTTCAGAGAGTTGCTTAATGAAGAACTGGATGGAAATGATGGAGGCTCCCATGGTAGAAGAAATAAGAGAAATCATATGTAGCATGAAAAACATTTTGTATCAGATGAGGATAATATGTCATCCTCAAGCAAGTACAGTAAAACATCTATATAAGGACCTATATTTAATGGACTTGGGATATAATGGACCAAACATTCTGTCAAATGTAAAAAAAATAAAAAACATCCTGTTATATCATACATGCTTAAACAGACATGTTTTCCCAGTTAGTCATATGTATGTATTTTTAGCTGAGAAATAAATAAAGCATTCCAGAAATATAATATTTTATCATAAACATAGATAATGTAAAATCATCAATATTTTATCAACTTTCTATACACATAGGAATGAAATCTAAATTTCTGACTCACAGCAATAGCACATATTAGGGGATTCCCTGATATAATATGTGTGGGTTTTTATGATTATATATGGGTGTTTACATTACAACACTTTGGCTTATTTATTTACTCAATGTGAACAAACACACTTAGTGTACACTAAGTATAAAACTATCAAATAAAAAGAGGAATAAGGGAAAATCAAAAACAAAAGTTGAGGAGATCAGAACAATGCCATAATAACAAAGGAGACCTTACAAAGGTAGTAAAACAAGAGAAATACCATAGATGAGATGCGTGGACCACATCAAAATAGCCAGAACAAATTAGAAGTATATTGTTCAGGATAGAGATTAATGGAAGGAGTTGGAAGAGGCCTATATTCAAAAATGGACAAGAGAAGGCTAAGAAGAGGATGATCTACATTTATATCTAATGTCACAAATTGAAGAACCAAGCTTTTTAGGTACCTACATTATTCTTATACTTTTACTATGAAAAAATAGTATACCTTTGATCTGAAGATCTCTAGAGACTATTAGACTGCTGAATATATTGAACAACTGATTTACACTATGTGCAAAACTGCTAACTACAGGTTATTACCTCTAAATATATTAAATATTTCATTATACTGTGTAATAAATCAAAAATTTGCTACTTACTTATATAACAAACACTCCACAATACAGTCTGCCTTTTCCTTGGTAGTGGCATGTTGCAAAAACCAAGATTTCCCATTACTGATACTATCTTTTGTACAACTATCTATTATAGGTTGCAGAATGCCATAAATGTCATTCAAAACCACTTCACATTTAGTGGCCTCCCTTTGTAAATCAGCAATTTCACATCTTTTAACTGTTTGTTCTATCTGTGTTTGTTGTTGCTGAAGCAACACTGTATGTTGGGCCGTCAAATTATGTTCACTTTGTTTGATTTGTTCCCGTAAAGTGTCTTGTTGTTTATTAATCTGTTCAATTTCGGCAGAGTGCTGCATTTGGTTAGGGGGGTTCCAACTGTTTTCCTGATCAGGCAAAACAGTTCCCTGTTGTTGCTGCTGTTTAAATACTAAAATACACAATATATTTACACTACTTGCTGATAATAGTGATTAAAAATTTGGAGAAAACTTACATTCTTGTTCGGCTGAAACCTTATACTGATAGTAGTTGAAATATTCACCACCGTATAAAAACTGGAACTTGGGATTTCCTTTCTGTTTATTTTTGGTCATTAACTCAAACTCGAGGCCATTTCGAGCAACAAATTGGGCTAATTTATCTATGATATTCCGAAGTTCCGTATCTGAAAAATATAACCTTAAAATTGTTTGTACTGTTCGATTTAGCGGAAATAATACTCATACGGACCTTGTGGTGCCTGCGGTACGTCCATTTTTATAAAACATTCATAATTCAATTTGTATACACGGGCTGCATATTTATGTTAAGTAAATACATTTATTTTTAAATTATTTTGTGTTGTGGAAACTAGAAAACGAGCATCATCTAACGAAACTGACATGTCAATTGTCATTGGTCACCGGTCAGATAACTCAGATATAGACGCGGCATCGATGTTGCTGTTTCCTAGAGATGTGGACAGGACAATGAACATCAACCAGACATCAACATAACATAACATAAATAATTTTCTGCCCCCGGGCCATAGCAAGGTTCATGATTATTATTATTTGTTTTGTTATTATTATAAAATTAATATTATACGAAGATAAAGCTAACATATTTTATATATTCATACTAACTATATAGTGTTAAATAACAGGACAATTATAAAGCGAGACTTTCCTTGAAGTTTATAACAGGAAATAAAGACAATAGAAAAATGCCATTAAATTAAAATATAGACAGGAGACAAGCACTTAAAATTTTAAACCTAATAGAAAAACATAGAATATTAGAAACTCCTTTAAAGATACAGTTACTATTATAAAGATTTAACATATTAACAAAAAATATAGACACATGTGCGTCTATATTCTTTGGTAATAAACGCTTTAGGGTCAATTTTAAATCAATATTTTTATACAATACATGATACTAAGACTTCCAAGATAAACCTACTTCGCAATCGAATTTTGTACATCGACGCGCATGACGTCAATTGGTGATAAAAGTCACTTTTATCACCAACCTTTTATCATCACAGTCGGTAAAACATATATGGAAAGAAAGGGGTTTTTATTTAAATATTTAGAATATTAAGGATGTTAGGTACAATATCTGCAATTAAATCTTAAAAATATGTTATATATACATCTCTGTTAGCCTAGCAATGTAAACTAAAATTATATAAAAAAGTAAGAACTAAACATCCTTTTGCAAATGGAAATTTATATACAATGGATTGATTTATTAAAATAAAAATTTAATACAACTGATAAAATAAAATACACTGTAATAATTTACAAGTTTATTTAACAATTTATTTTACAATTTTTATTATTTTCTTCTTCTTAACTTTGGATGTTTCTTTAATATATCTATTCAATTTTCTAATTTTAAATATAATTTACACTTTTACTAACATTACATCTGAACACAGCTAAATCCATTAGCGATTTTAAATAATTCTTGGTTAATTTTAATGACCCTTTGTTAAAATTGTTAAAAATATGGTCCAGTTCATTACATTTAATTAGAAAATCTGGATATGGTTTAAGTAAACCTCCTTCGGAAAGATGGTTTACCAAGTAAACCGATGTCAACGTACAAGATAAACGATAAAACAAAACTAAATCTCAAGGTTAGTAGATATTTAAGTAGATACTTAAATGTCTACTAACCTTGACTAAATCTGACAAAACTCCATACAACACAGAACATTTCTGGTGACATTTGTCGCCACGTGACGTCACACGACTGATCGCGTGCGCGTGGGTTTATCTGTAGTTTATAGTATCATCACAGAACACTAATCACAACTTGTGTTGTGTTTAGTATTCTGTGCTATGGCCGATTTCGAACATGCGCAAAGAAATTTGGATTGCGAAAAAGCCCTCCGTTTCGCTTCTTGTTGTGATTAGTATTCTGTGGTATCATGTATACAATACACATTTGTTAATGCTAATTCCATTGGTAAAATTAACCATTTAAGTAAAGCCAAGATGGAATGTCCTACCTCTAGTTAAAAACAAAGATCAACGTTGCCAGATCATATATGTTAATGCAGAACCTGCAAGGATGTCCAGCCAGTTATGTAATTAAAGTAGACTAAAAAGAAGAAGATTAATGTCAACATGTCATATGCGCATTCAGCTGCGTTGCGTTTTTCGTTTAATAAAAAGGTTATGTTATATTCTTATTTCTTATATTTGTGTTTTTTGGAATTGTAAAAAAATGTAAACACGTTATCTATTGTAAGATGTATTTAGTTATAAACATAAATGAAAATTCAACCAATTTTGTGACTTATTTTTGAACGTAATAGAATAAACCGATCATGGCCAAACGCAAGGCTGCAAGTGATAGCGAAAATGAACAGAAGCCAGCAAAAAGATCCAAAAGTTCCATAAGGGAAGACCTAAACATGGTCGTTAAATCACCTACAATAAAAAAAGAAATTCAGTTAGAAGATGAGACCACAATTCGGCCTGAAGCTACACCAAAAGCGAAAAAGAATAGAAAAAATCAGGGAGAAGAGAAACAATCCATGATTGATTCAATACTGAATGAAACAAAACGTTTGGTATTATCTACTAAGAAACCAAAAAAATCTAAAAAGTCTCAAAAACAAGATGATACTCAGGAATTAAATGAGTCCCTTACAATCGAAAATATTAAAACAGAAGCCTTGGATTCATTTGAAAATTCAAATATGTACAATGTGCAAGATGAAAATGAAGAATTTGATGGTCACCCCAGCAATGAAGAACCTTTAAATAATGTGACAAATGGTGAAAAGGTGCCAAATTCTCCTAGAATTAACACAAGTTACCAAGATGAGGATGATAGTAGTAAGTATCTACAATTAACCTTTAATAATTTTGTTTTTAATCTAAAAGTACCCAAAATGGAGTAAAATGTACAGTATTGATTATTTATAACATGATTTTGGTCTTTAAAATATCTCATAAAATACTCATGAAACTCGTATTAAATACTTTTTGGAAGTTTGAAGATGATGTAGTCATTTTAACATTATAAGTTGACTTTGTTTCACTTTATACTATTTCATATAAGAATATCACAGAGAATGTTTAAAAATGGAGGAAAATAATCAAGTAAATGGTGAAAACATTATAAATCTAAAATGTAAACTTGTGAAAACAACTGGTTCCTAAAATTCTATCATCTAGAAGAAAAAACATCTGCATAGAAATTGAAAATATTAAATTTTTTCCACGTTTATGAGCAATATATCATGGTAAGAGGTTCTAATTATGTCACCAGAAGTCTCAGTGCAAGCTCCAAATGCTGTTTCAAGTATATTGAGTACCAAAATACTCCAACGTGTGATACAACATTCAATATGTTGGACGTATAAATCTGTCTTTCAAGTGTTTTGGTCATTAGTACATCCAGAATAGTTTATATAATGTTGATTACATTAAATTAAAACTGTACAAAATTACTTTATTTATATTAAATTTTCATTTTAGTGATGGAAAAAATTGAAAAGAAAGTCAATATTCTTCAAAATATTCAAGTATCTCCATCAAAAGTAAGTATTTGTTGAACTTGGCTTAAGATCTTGGATCCAAAGCACATTGTAGAATAAAAGATTTGTTTTAAAATGTTTAGATGTATTTATTACACTTGTTTTAATACCATTGACTGCAAAATAGTTATTTCATCATGAATATGCTAACATAGTACATTGGTTTTCATTTTTTTTTTCAGACAAAATCACCACAAGAACTCCTAAAGGACTTATATCCCAATTTAAAATTGAGTCCTATCAAAACGAAACTTAAGTTAAAGAGTAATAGTGATGTTTACATGTTAAGAGTCCCTAAAAGTGTAGATGCTGATGCTCTTTTGAATATGAACATTAACTTTGAAGAAAAAAGCAAAGTAACAATAGGGGGTGACAAGTTTGTAATAAGAACTTTGTCAAAAATACCTGATCCCACATTTGCCTTAAGTACAAAAACCCACATGATCGACTTTAAAGCAAATTTAGTAATGGAGAAGTACATAAAACCCAACAAAGGTCCAAATGTACCAACTATAGAAAAAACTGCAGTACAACTACCAAACACATTGAAAAATCGCCATCCCCTATTTGGTTCTAATTTTGAAGAGAAGATACAGCTTGATGAAGCTGTGGAAAAGAAGCTGACTGATGCTATTAATAATCTTTTGAAGTCCAAGAAGAATAAAAAAGCAAAAGAGGACAGAAAGTCACTTATCAATAGTACCATGCTACCAAATGTCACATCCACTCAATTTTGTCCAAATGTTAGTTACATTTCTCCAAAGAAAAAAATAAAAAAAGAAAAACAGCAACTCGAAACAAACAACAGTGACATATTCAATAATATATCAATAGCTGATGTTAATCCTGATGACTTTATACCTCCAATAAGGAAAACAAAAATCAAGAAAGAAAAACCAGATCCTGTTTTTGATATTTCTAATGACCTAGAAGAAAATTCCGATAGTCCTAAAAAGGCGAAGAAGAGGAAAATTAAAGAGGAACCTGTAGATTTTAGTCCGCCGAAGAAAAAGAAGAAGAAAAAGGTAAAAGAAGAATATGAATAATTTTTGTTTGTATATTAAAAATGTTTTTATACAAGAACTGCATAAATGTTAATTAAAATTTTTATTTTTTTGTTTTATTTATATACAAACCCAAAAATCTTATAACTCCTTCTTGCTGTCCTTAGTAGGGGTTAGAAATATGCACAGTTCGACAAGTCTAATTTGTTACTAAAGTGTTCTTGTCAGGGGATAGAATCTATGCAAACTCATCCCTTTGCAAACTGTGTCCTGGCTAGTCGTCGTCGTAGAACAGTGGATAATGGGGGGATTCTGTTAATCTTACCTTGTACCAGACCTAAAGATGTATTGGACGCCACCCTATTTTTTATACAAAAACTATAGGGAAAAAAATATATAAAAATCATTAAATTCCTAACTTCAAAGAAGATCCTGTTGTATTAAAACTATTGTAGAAATAAAAAGCTAAATAAAATTTTTTTTATCTTTATTCTCTGGTTGAGTTCTTTAAATCAGTCAATGTTAAACAAAGAAAAAATTGTTTTTATGTAGTCAGACATCAGAGTAACCATAATAATAGCTGACTGAGCTGGCACAGATCATAAATATAATGTCTCATTTATTGACAACAAAACATCCCCGTCAAGATCATGAGCACTTCAAAAATTAATAGTTTACATTACAGGTGTTGATGAAATTATTTAAAGATCTGTTATAAAATTAGACAATACAATAGTAGCAAATTTATATGTTGTAAATGAAATATTTAACTATAATTGAATTTACATTTGTCAAAATATTAAAAATAAAAATAAAAGCTGCTAAAATACTCATTTTAAGAAATGTCAAAATTAAACAGTTTGCACCTATGAAAACATGTGAAAATATGGATAAACTGTGGAGCCCTATGAAGATATACCAGTTAATATCACCCAAAATGTATTCATTAAATCATTACTAAAAAAAGTGTTTCAAAATTTAAATTTAAAGAAAAGTCTCTCAAAATACATATTTTAATTTTCACCATAAATACCTTTGTGTGAACTTTACATGAAACTTCAGCTTGAAAACGGGACTTTCCCAAATACAGGCTGATGCTGAAGGAAAAACCTTAACAAAATTCCAGATGAATCCTTATTCAACAAGAGCACAGAACCGGCTACCCTGGACAAAGTGTTATCTCAAATTGACAGGATTCTTGGAGAAAAGAAAATTGTTAGACCGCTTCTAACCTCATGGAAGTTGTCTTTGATCCCCAATGTGAATTGTGTGAATGTATGTAAAAAACTGCATCCACCAGTGTGAATTCTACTGATTACATCAGCATTTTGCAACAAAAAAACTAGATTTTACTAGTTAATTCTGGATAAGGCCAGACGCCTAAACACATGTCAGCTAAAACGGCAAAAAAATGCAAAATTCCCTTCTGGTTGTTTTATTCTTTTTTTGTTCTTACAAAACCCTTGATTTAAAGGAAACCAAAATTCGACTTTACTCTACGAAAGCGTATATCAGAAAAACCAGAATTATTCAGATGTCAAAAATATATCGACCATGGTCTGGAATCTTATATGAATAACCTTGAACATTTCCCCCATCACTTTGACTCCAGTCGGTTAATAAAGAGAGATGACAGCCTATCTCGCTCACGAAGACTTTAACCAATCATTTTATTTTAACACCATCTCTGAATGTCACAAATAAAATAATCAAACGAAGCTTAATTCCGCCATGTCAATTCCGTCAAAAGTAATAACAAGTTGATGATTGATATTTGTCATCGAGTTAGAAGTTCGGTGGAATCTATTTGTATATTTTCGAGTTTCGTCCATTTTCGTCTTCCACGTGCTTTGGCTTGTTTACAGTTTTCATTTTTAATTTAATTATCTTTAACTTTCGTTTGTATTTAGTCTTAGTAATTTAAGTTGGTTCCTTAGTTTTTAAAGTTTAGTTAGTTGATACCTTAGTTTTCATTTTTAATTAACTTTCGTTTGTAATTTAATCTTGATAATTTTAATTTAAGTTGGTTCCTTAGTTTTTTAAGTTCGGTTAGTTGATTCTTTAGTTTTTTCAGTTTAGTTTTATTTGATTCCTTAGTTTTTAAAGTTTAGTTATAGTTCCTATAAATAAAGATTTTCGTCTCTCTACAAAACTTGTGAAAAAGCAGATAGGTATTGTCACATCACTCACGATATGTGAGATTATTCCATTGGAAAATAATAAAATATTTTGAATTTTCCACTAAATTTTAATTAGTACCGAAATGACCCACCAGAGGCGCTAAAGCGATAAAATTAATACTTAACCATTTGAATTTCCCGCCAAATGGTGATTAGTATTGACTCCACTCACCAGTGGTGCTAATAAACCAAATTTATATATAGAGTTGCCTATCTATCTGTATATACTATATTATTTAATCTGTATATACTATATTATTTATCTATGTATATCGACAACTGACAGAAAATAAATTACCATACCCATAGAACTTCGTTCTCCATAGATACACACTGAGTAAACTAATTTATGGGATACTAAACACATTACTAGGTTATAATTAACTGGTTGCATACCTAATAGGAACTCATTTAGAATTAAAATTATTTGAATTAATGTGAACAATTATTGAGTATTTAAATATTTATTTTAACAAACGAGCTGAGATATATTTAATAAAAAAAATTACATTGTACGTGAAATGGACATTTTTCACGTTACAATCACCCCCTTCCCAAGTAAAAAAAATTTGACATGAAATGGCAAAAATTTTTTATGTGAACTCTTCCTTTATCAGGAAGAAAATAATCCAGACTCTCAGATAGGCACCCCTATTATTCCTCTATGGCACCATAGGGTAAAGGTGTTAATCCTTCTTTCGGACAGTTGGATCAAGAAAAGAAATAAAATTTTTTTTAAAAAACAACAAAATAGTTACAAACTCATGCATTTCCTGAGAGCTTCTCAAGAAAATAACCTTTGTATTAGGACCCAATATTTACAAATATGTACACTATATATTTTTTTTTAGTTTTTTTTTTTTATAAGTGGACAACTCAAGTTCAAATTGAGCAGTTCCCATGCATGCTTAGCAATGGCTAGGGCTCTTTTACCGTCCACAGTAGGCATTGAGATAACATATGCTTCCACAAGCACACGAACTCCCTACTCGTACCTAAATCATCTTTTTAAATTTTATATTTTATATTACCTAGTACTAACTATTATTTACTAAAACTATTTAGATTGCAATCACGTGATTCCCCCTTATTTACATTATATACATAAAAAATCCACTATCAGTAACCTTAGTCCTCATCTGTATCTACTCCAGCCTCAGATCCTGTTGTGGAGAGATCAGAAAGTGACTCACTATATGGTTTCAAATCCTGAATGTGGTAAGTTCCTGCTTTGGAACCGTCTTCATTAATTAGTTCATAAACTAATTTAGACTTTTTTTTAGATACGGTACATAGTACATACCTTGGAGCTAGCTTTTTCGCAAACCTTCAGCTGCTTTTGATAAAACGTGGTTTCTGCGCCACACTTTCTCGCCAACGAAAAATTCTTTTTCTCGCCGCCGAAGATTATAATACTTAGTATTTTTCTTATATCCTGCATTTATCTTTTCTTGAACATCCTCATATAAATTTTTCATATTACCCAGATTTTTACCCCAATAATCTCTGCTCCCTAAATCTAAAATATCTCCTGCTTTACCATAATATTTACCTGTGCATGGCAACTCTCGACCAAACATCAGAAAAGCAGGGCTATACCCAGTTATTTCATGAACAGCTGTTCTTATTGCAAAACCAATTTGTCCCAAATTTTCATCCCATGTTCTATGATTATCTTTAATGTAACTCCTGATAGCTGTTTCTATTGTTCTATTATTTCTTTCTACATAATTAGTCTGAGGATGATAAAAAGGTGTTAAATTTAGATGTGTCTGGTACTTTTCTAAAAGTTTTTTCAGTTCTTTACTAGCAAGGTTTTTCGCATTGTCACATAGTACACTTTGTGGAACACCATAAATTAGGAAAACATCGTTCTCTAAAATTCTACAAATAGTTTTTGCAGTGGCTTTCCTTAAAGGAAAAATTAAAGTGTATTTTGTGAACCAATCACTGACAACTAGCAGTTGCGTGAATCCATTTTTACTCCTAGGAAAAGGTCCGACACAATCTAAAGCGATTGTTTGGAACGGAAATCTAACTTTCCTTTCAACTCCCATCAAACCGAATTTTTTGTAATTGGGTGCCTTTTGAGCACAACACACTTTACAGGATTTTACATATTTATAAATATCGTTTCGCATTTTAGGCCAATAGTATTGCAAACTGACTCTAGAAAAAGTTTTGAAATAACCTAAATGAGAAGCAGTACTAGTATCATGACAGTTATAAATAATTTGATATTTTTGAGACTTTGGAACTAATAATTTCCAATCAGATATATTAGAATTCACTTGCACTTTAGTGGGTACAAGTTTATACACATAACCGTTTTTAACGGCCCATTGAGGATACTTATCTGGTTTTCCAGTTATTTGAGTGCGCATTCTGACATAGAAAGGATCTAAATTTTCCAAACTAATATCTAGTATAATGTTATCATTAAACTGAGTTTCCAAAGAGAAAATGTTATTGGATTGTTCATCATAATCAAGATTTTCATTCTCACTTACGTCTACTAACGGAGCTCTAGACAAAGCATCCGGTACAACATTCATTTTACCTTTACGGTGCTCTAACTCAAAATCAAATTGACTCAAACGAACACTCCAACGAGCTAATCTTCCAGTTGGATTTTTCAATTTTAAAAACCATTTAAGAGAAGCGTGATCACTTATCAAAGTAAATTTTACCCCTTCAATAAACCCTCTGAATTTTTCACAAGCGAAAATGCAAGCTAAACATTCCTTTTCAGTTACACTAAAATTTCTCTCACACCGTGTAAGACTTCTTGAGGCATAAGCAATAACCTTCTCCGCGCCATCCTGAATTTGTGTTAATACACAGCCCAAGCCGACACCGCTAGCGTCCGCTTGCACAATAAATGGCAAGGTAAAATTCGGACTGGCCAGAATCGGTGCAGAGACT